ATTTTTTTTCGGGTGAATAATATTCGATTAATTTTTTTTAATAAAAAGAATTTAATAATTTTAAGTGCATATTTTTAAAGTTTGAAAATTTTCTAGAATTTTTTTTTAGGTATGATTAAAAATAAATAATTAAAAATATACCCCTTTACTAATATGTATTTATTTGTAAAAGTGAAATATATATTTATTAATAACCAAAAGAAAAATTTGTTCCAAATACGATTTGTTCGATTTAAATAAAATATTTGTAAAACATAAAGAAAAATACTTTTTTTGGTAATCAAGCAATTTTTCTACAAATTAAGGTTTTCAAAGGACAAAAATAAAAATATCTTTACTGATACGAAATAAATAATATTACACCCCAAAAAATAAATATTCTGTTCATGGCTTTTTTCGCAATTTTAACCTAAGAACATATTTAATACATTAAAACTAATTATTTTTCACTTAAGAACATTTTACAATTAGTATTTTCTTGGCTTGTCTGAATTTAAATAAAATATTATATTAATTAAAAAATTTACAACATATTTACAAATAAACAGTAAATATTCATATGTTAAGTAAAAAATGACATGAAAAATCTTGTTTATTAAAATTATGTAATAATTTTGTTCATTTACTTAAATAAACTTTGTAAAAAAATCATATACTATTTACTTGATTTTTTCCTCACAAATTAAATTTAAATTTTTTCAGAGCAAAGTTTTTTTTTTATATTTTATATTTGTGCTAAAACTTATTTTTATTCTTATGATATAATTGAGCATTTATTTTTATAAAGTCGCATTTAATACTGTAATTTTATAATTTTGAGACAAAAGCTGCAAGCAGAATATTTTTAATAAAATTAAAAGTTGGTCTTCAAATATTTTTTCGGCATATAGTTCTATCGTGCTTTTAGTAAGCAAAAATTATTTGAACTGGTAATCAGTTTATTAAAATCAAAAATATTTTTTTAATTTGAGTCAAAAGTATATGTTAATAGATCAATCACGTAAATTCATAACATTAGTTCATAAATAAAAAAACTGAACCATTTTTTCTGTGGTATGTCAAAATGTTCAGAAACCTTCAAAACGTTAAGAAATGCAAAAAAAATCAATTTCGAATTTTGGACGATTATGATAACTTGCCATACGAGAAGTTAAAAAATATAGTTGTTTATGGAAAAAAATTTATAAAAACTAAAAACAATCCCTTTATCTAGTCTTTCCCGATTTTTTTACCATTTTATCAAACTACAGCTTTTTCATGCCACCTTTTCCTATAATCATCCAAAAAAACACATTACTATAATAACAATAAACAACTAGAATATCAATATACATAAATTTAAGAATAAAATTCTTATACTCATATTTGGTATGATACACGACAACATTTCTTAGATATTGAAGATACTCTTAATATTAAAATTATATGGAACGACGTTGCTAAAATATTAAATATTTTTGCAAAAATACTATACGATAGATTTATATTTGTGTGAATATAATAAAAGCATATTTTTTTAATAATGCACATAATTTTTTTATAGTTTGGTCCTACATGCAATTTAAAATTTGCAATTCTAGAAAATAAAGAAGCTTATTTACTACGACAGCGAAACCAACCATATTATAAAACGTGCATGGAAATTTTTTCTTTGGTAAAGTAATAAGGTAATTTTATTTAATAAAAATATTGTTTTTTATTATAAATATTTTTATAATTACATGGAAAATGAATTTTACTCAAATAATGCCATTTTTGTAATAATTATTGAATTTTTGTAAAAATAAGGATTTTTGTGAAAATAATTAATATTAAAAAAACACTTTTTTATGATAATTAGGGGGCGTCCATTAATCACGTGAGGTTTTTACAAAAAATCACGAAATAACACTTTTGGAGAGAGTGGGATATAGTAAGATATCACGTGTATTTATTTTTTAACTGAATTTTTTTTAAAAAAATCCAACATTTTCAAAAAAAAAAAAAAAATACAATTTTTCTTGTAACTAGAGGGTAATTTTTAATGTCACCAAGTATCATCAAGGTGAAGAAGAGGGGTCCAAAAAGATAAAAAATCGATCACGTGATTAATGGACGCCCCCTTATGAGTATAATAATTCAAAAAAATTATAAATTTGGTGAAAAAAAAATCTGTTAATTTTCTTTATAATTGTAAGTAAATTTTACTTTCTAAAAATTCTCTCTTTTATAAAGTAAGTTAGTAAAATATTATTTTTACGAAAATGCTAAGGGGGCTAATCACGTGATCGATTTTTTTGAGATTATAATTTTTTTAGAGATTTTGGACCCCCCTTAGTAAAACGTGGTGATATTTAGAATAACCCCCCTACACCGCCCAAACATCACATTATTTTTCGAATTTACGAAAAAACGTAAGGTTTTTAATTATTTTTTTAAAAATCTAGTTTAAAATAAATACACGTCATATTCTAACCTTCCTCTCCCACGTGATTTTTTGTCAAGCCCCCCCTCCCCCTAAAAGCCTCTCCTGATTAATGGACATCTTCTAATTTTATTTAAATAAAACATTTTTCGTGAGCAAATTCGTTCTTAAAATAAAATTTTATTCAAACTGAACCCAAATAAACTAAAAAAAAGCATTCTGCAACAAAAATTTGTTATTCAATATTAATTTGCAATATTTTTAGGTTCTATTTTAAGATTTATAAATTAATTTTTATCAATAGATAATTTTGTCCTTTTTGAGCCAATAAACATCTTGAACAAGTCTGTAACATTATTTAATAAATTATTTATTACCTAAAAGTTTCATACTGAGAAATTTCGTAGTGATTTGGAAAAATTTTAGCACTTGTGCCAGAACTTTAAATTAATCCTTGGTGATTTGTAAAAATGTGAAATTATCAGAAAAATAAAGGAATAATCATTTTATCAAAAAAATAAAAAAATAATTCTATTGTAAAAACTTATATTGGAAAATAAATAAAATTTCTTCTAATTTTCAGTCATAATTTGCAAACTAAAGAAAAAATCTTCACACACGTTCCTCCTTTCGACATCACATTTACTTATAAATTGTGCACAAAAATATTTATTTTAAATATACAATTACCATGTGTATGATTTAATAAACGACAAACACACCAAAACAGTTAAACATACACACATCTACATCATTGCACAATTTATTTATAATACATAATTATATTTATACTCTTTCGAAATTTACAAAATTTATCACAGATCAATACTCTCAAGCTATCATGGTTTCAGACAAATTTTGATTTTTGGGGACTCTAAATCTTGCCAATTCGTAATATTGCGAGATAATAGATGATTTACTTGGTTTAGGTGTAATTTGTATATAATCGTTAATATCTATATTATCTATAGCATTGTCTATAAAATCTTTTGAATTCGAAGCATGTTGCTCAAATTTCTACTGGCAATATTAAATTCGGTACTAACTCTATTGGAGATAAATTCACTAGTCGTCTATTAAAATTATCATCATTTCCAGTTTTATCAACTATACTACTAAAATTCTTACCACCTTTTTTGGATTCTGTTTCATTAAAATCTATAAAACCTGTTTTATAAAATCCTTGGGAAGAAGTTCTCAATTTTCTTATGGCATTGGAGATAGTTGTCTCGAAGTCGTTGATTCCTTTGGATTTTAAAGTTTTTGCAAGTGCACCAAAATTTGATATGTCAGATGGGTTGTCTAGGACTCTCGGACGAGTTTTGTTTTCGTTTTATCGATTTGATAAAAGGTCACTGTTTTCATCACTTACTATATGGATCTGTAAAAAAACAACTCAGCACATAAATCTTATTTACCATTTACATTTTACTAATATTTTATCCTCACCTCGCTTAGTATCGCCCAGTTTTCAGAATCAGCATGTACCTTAAGTCTGATAGCAGCAATTTTTCCAAATTCAGGATCGTCCAGAGTACCATAAGCTAGACCAGTAGAATCAAACTTACTTACAATTATAAAACCATCATTTGTGGAATTGTAGCGAGATCCGACATCATAAATCACTTTTGGAGATGCTGGTAAGACTTCTACAGTAGTATTGTAGAATCTGTCTGATGGATGTTCTGCGTTACCACTTCGGAAAAGATAACTAAAAAAAAAAACAAAATAGTAGATTCACACGTGTCCTCCCTTCCATGAGCCAAAATTAATTATTAAAGGGCTTATAATTAACTTCCCGAAAGTTTGTTTTCATAAAAAAATTCGATTTGCTAATTTTATGTTTTCTCGACGTTTCAAGCCATTCTGAATCGAATGAGACTAAATTTGGAAGAAGTATGTGTGAAGTATGTATGTGTGTGTGTCCGTGTATATGTGTGTGAACAGATTTTTTGCCGTGAATCGACGTGTTCTCAAAAAACGGCTGAACCGATTTCAAAAATTTAAAAGCCGTTCGATGTATTTCGATAAGGACTAACATTTTGCGCGAAGATTAGCCAAGCCGTTTCTTTGTAAATCTCAGAAAAGTGAAAAAATTTTCGTCCACGTTATAGCCCGCAATTCTGACTCGATTTTAAAAATTCAAAACCCGTTGGAAAGATATTGGTTGGAAATCGTGGTGATTAATTTTGGTAAATATTCGCTGGCACAATTTCTTGTAATTAAATGTTGAAATTTTTTTTCGACGATTTTTATGAATTTTTTTTTGGTTATTGATACCATGGTCTTCTAGATCATACTAAAATATTACTGCTCTACGAAAAGTCGTTTAATTTAAAAAATTCGTCAAAGTTTGCAAAAATTAGTATCGTTTCTTAATGAGGACTATCGTTTATCAGTTTTGTGCGACGATCTATCGAGCCGTTTCTTTATAATTTGGAATAAAGTCTTAAACTTTTCGCCATTTAAGCTCCTACTAACGAATCGATTTAAAAAAATCAAAAACTGTTCGAAAAATATTAGTTGGGAATGATACTGATTAGTTTTAGATGAAAAACTACTAAGCCGTTTTCTTGTAATTAACTGTTTAAAATAAAAATTGAAGCCGATTTTTATAAAACTTTTTTTGGCTATATATATCACGGTCTTATAGAACTTACTGAAATATTACGGCCTTACGACAAGTAGTTCAATTTTAAAAATTCATCAAAGTTTGAGAAAATGAGTAGTTTTTTTGACGTTAGTTAAAATTCAAATTAGACGATTTATTTGGTATTAGGATAGAGTACTTGGTCTTAATGAATACACTAAACCATTAAAGTCCTACGGAAACTGGTTCAATTATAAAAATTATTGATTTTTAAAAATTTGCTTTTAGAAAATACTCCGAGTTAACGTGTTCGTTCGTTTTTAATTATGTGTAATAAATCCACTCGAAATACATTTAATCACTCATAAATTATTAATTAATTAATTTATTATTTATTGATTAAGACGATTATTTACACATACAGGGAAGTTCATGCGACTTGCCTCAATGCAAAATACCAATACCAACTGGTTTATTGGTAAAATCATAATAACATTTCTAGTAAATGAAACAACAATCGTCTACCTCTTTACTGCAATTGGTTGTTTAAATTTAAATAGAAGACTATCTCCTGGTTCTGGCAAAAGACCCCAAAAGTATCCCTCTCCTGCATAAGCTTTTGCCAAAGTGTTCTGCTTGTAGGCTGCTATTCCTGTCTGGACATCTGCTGGAGGATTTTTGTGAGGAATGTATAAGGGTACTTTTCCAAATTGTTTATCCTGGGAAGAAAAAAATTAAAAATTGTATAACATGTCAATTCTAGAAGTCGATCTCTTAAAGAAATCACATAGAAATCAAGAAATACATTTTGAAGAATAATAAACATTCTAATTCTATTGGCAATGAGTTAAGTCACCACCTGTTTGATATACATATAAGTATTCTTTAACAATGAGAATTAGAATTAGGAAAAAAATATTATTAAAGTGAATTAAGTGACAAAAATTTCTGCAGACATGGTCAATTTCTAAATTTATTAGAAAGTCACAAAGTAAAACAAATTGTGAGAACTTACCTTCAACTTTTGAACTTTTCCTTTAAGGGACGAATGCATTCCTATGTGTTGGAACAAACTTGGTTTGTAATGTATCCACACTTTTGCCTTTTCTTTCTTACAATGTTTCTGGAAAACAATCATATGCATATACATTTTTTTAAATTTATCAACATAGTTATATAAATTTAGTTCGTTTCAACTTTTTATTGCACTATTAAAAAAAATAATGAATAAAATAGTATTTGATAAAGTAGTTATAAAATATTATAAATTATTTGTAAGTCATATAATAATAGATAAATGTGTCCTTAAAATCTATACTTTGTATGGAAAAATATTATTCAACAATATTGGATATAAGAAGAAACTAATTTATAATTTTCCAAAATTGTAATTTAGAATTAATACATTAATCGCCTCGATAATAACAGAAATTTTCACATGGGCCATGGTAACTTTATTTGATAATTTAGGTAAAAATGCACCAAGAAAACTTCATATATCCAAGAAAATTTTTATTTTGCCAAAATTCGTGGGAAAACACTGATGCGATATTTATATATTACTTTTTTTCCTCCTACCAAATTGCTGGCTCTTAGCGTCAGACACATATGACTGACATGGCGATAATACTAATTGTAAGATAAATTTTCAATTAAAATATTATTCATACAATGCAGTAAAAAAACAATATTAGTTTAAATAAAAATTTAAATATTGGTTATATTGATATTGTTTCTCAATAATTTAGTAGAGAAATATATTAATATACATTAAAAATCAGTAAATTCTGATTCATATAAAAACAGATTCGATTAATAAATAACAACACAAATTGTCTTTGATTATTGACAAATGTAGTATATTAATATTATTATATCTTCTAATTAATATAAAAATACACTTACACTATCTTTCTCCCAATTGCATATTTTTGTGGAAATCAGATGATCCAGTAACCAGTCCACAGGTTTATCATTATAGAACATTTGAAAAAATGTGATCAACCACGGTAATTCAGCTGATTTGAACATTTTACCTGCAATAATACATAATATATAATAATTAGTTGTAGTTGTTACAAAAATGTTTCATGAAATAAATAACATATGTAACTAATGGTGCATGGCATCGTGACTTAAGGCAACTTGCTAGTAACACCACCAATTTGATATTCTTTTTTTCACTTCATATAATTACCGAAAATTTAATTTTTTAAAAAAGCTTTAAAAAATTTTTGAATACTGGAAAAATGAGATTTGGGAATATTTGAAAATTTCTCAGAAAAAATACTTAAAAAATTAGATTTTTTTTGAAAATTTTGAACATTTTTTCAAAGCAATCGTGCTGCTTGGTTATTATAGAGACGAAATATCGAAGCGCGTAAGCGCCGCGTCGCGGACTAAAGTCTTTGCTCTGAAAAATAAGTTCAAAATTTCTAAGATATTTCAAAATAAAAAAAAAACATTTGTTTTCAAGTCTTTTTTTCCAAAGAAGTCAATGCCTTTCAAAAATTTGAAATTTCTCAAAAATCTAAAAAGTCAAAATCTTTTTTAAACAATTTAATTTTTGGTACGGGAAATTCCAGCTATTAAGGCGCTATGCCATATACCACTAGTTGAATCATTCAAACGGGTTGATCCGTATTCCCAAAATCGTTGACGAAAATTTGTACCCGCACACAAACATACATCTTTTTCTTTCTAAGGTATGCCAAACAGTTCAGAAACGTTTGAAACGTGAAGAAATATAAAAAAATTCGTTTTTGATTTTTTTCTATTACAATTATTTACCCCATGGAAAGTTAAAAAAAATTTTATAATAGAATCAAGGCCTAATTATAAAGCATGTTAGATTATAATGCCTATTAAAACACGTTTGTTTTCAATTATATATCTTTTTCTATCTAAAATATTATATATACATTTATATATATATATATATATATATATATATATAAGGTATGTAAATAGTAATTATAAACTGCAAACGCAAACCATAATGAACACAATAAATAATGCCCGGCATAGATTAAACCGTGAATAATACAATATTCAACCCTTAAACAAGATAAATGGAAACTAACCGAGCAAATGCGGTGAAATAACTTTAATATCTGAATAATTATAGTAACCTAGGTATTATTTAACTTTCTACATATATTATTACTGCATTTATATCGCAGTCCAACCAGCCTGGAGGCAAAAAGAGCCAAAATTTTATTTTAAATTTTGAAAATATTTTACAGTATTATAGCTAGATAATTTAATCAATGTGGTGCAATAATTATAGTAGCTGAATTAAAATAAGCACTAGTATCAACATCTATTCCTACAGTAAATATATGATGAGCTCATACAATAAATCCTAATAATCCAATAGCTAATATAGCATAAAATATTCCTAAAGTTCCAAAAGTTTCAATTTTTCCTGATTCTTCAGAAATAATATGCGAAATTATTCCAAATACGGGTTAAATTAAAATATAAACTTCAGGATGTTCAAAAATGCCGTTTAATTATTTGGTTGGAGACGAAAATTAAAAGGGCGGGACACAAAGGTCCAATTTGTTTTAGCAAGTATTTGTTAAAACTAAATTACATCACAACAAATAGTTCAGTAAAACTCCCAGGTAAATTGTTACTGAAATATTTTTCATTTTTCAAAAAAATGTAAACCAAGTCCATAGGCACAGATTACAGAACTTTGCAAAGAGTATTCGTCATCATTTTTTAAACCTAATTTACTCTTTATTTATTATTTTTTATTGTTCACACTTTTGTCAGAGTAAAGATTCAATTTGTCCTTTTTACCCCACCCATTTGTAAGCTTTTAAATGGGTTATATGAAAAAAAAACTGTTAAATCGCACTTAAAAATAACAATACTTATTATAAAACACAGAACTTTGCAAAGAGTATTCGTCATCATTTTTTTAACTTAATTTACTCTTTTATTTATTATTTTTTAATTTATTCAATTGGTCCTTTTTACCCCACCCACTTGTAAAATTTTATATGGAATATATTAAAACTGTTAAATCTAACTTAAAAATAACAAAACATCTTATAGAACAATTAATTAATGTTTGTTTAAAAATTATATTTAGGTCTAGTAAACTAAACAACAGTGCTCACAACCAAAAAAACTAATAACGGAAAAAATACTTTTTTATGGATTTTATGAAAAAAAAAATTATGGAAAAAATACTTTTATAAATATTGCCTTTTATCGACGAAGCAAAAATCAAGACTGGTTATACATATTTTGCCCCCTACTTTCAAATATTGTTGTTAAAAAATTCTTAACTTCACTCGTTTTTGAGATATCAGTGGTCGACCTTTGTACTCGCGGATCTTTAAGCCCCTATATATATAAAATCCAGGTCTTCTATCATTATGATTGACACAAACATATTTCCTAGTCCTTGAAGTATTTCTTCTTATATAATATTTCTTCTCAGAAATATTTTATATTTCTTAGTTCTTATGATGAAAACGCAAAACGAGCACCAATCATTATTTTTTCTCACTTTGCGTGTCCTTTGTATATTACGTGTCTTTTTCCACTTTGAGTCTGTCAGTGGTTCTTAACATTTCTGAATTAGGGGTGATAAATTACATCCCTTATCAGAAGGGCTTATATGTCTTCTAAGACAGTGGCATTATGTAAGGATATGCGTGATAAAATATTTAGAGCATGGATCGTGGGCATGCCATCGTGCCTTAAGGCAAATTGCTGGAACTTCCCGTACCAATTTTTTTTTTTTAAAGAATAACATTTTTGAAAAAAATTACTCTGAAAAAATTAGATTTTTGAAAAGCTATAAATTTTTGACAAAAATTTACTTTGTTTTGAAAAAAAAAGACTTTTTGAAGAAAAATGTACTTTGAAATATTTTGGAAATTCTGAACTTTTTTTCAAAGCAATCGTACTGCTTTAACTGCATAGAGACGAAATATCGAAGCGCGTAAGCGCCGCGTCGCCGTCTAACCGATAAACGCTGATACGGAACCCATAGGAATGTAAACAAAATTTATACTTATTATTAAAATCTCTATAAAATATCTGATAATTTGATGTGCATATGTCTAATGGTCATTTTTGACCGCCAGATGGCATTTTTTGTACCTTTTTTACTAGATATCCGAAACCGCTAGACCTACTTATGAAAAGTTCATCAGTTCTTCATCTTGTTAATACAAGTAAAATGTTTTTTGAATAATTTAAATCGAACGCTCCGTTCTCTTAAAAACTGAGTTTTGGCACTTTTTGCCCCATATCTTCGGAACGGCTAGACCTGCTTTGCCAAAAACTAATCAGCACGTCTCCTTATCAATACAAATCGAATGTTTTTTGAATTATGCAAATCGCTTCATCCGTGTTCTCGAAATCGTCAACGAAAATTTGTATCCAAACACACACACACACATGCACACACACACATGCACACACACATATATCCATTTTTTTAAGGTATGTCAAAATGTTCAGAAGGTTTTGAAACGTAAAGATGTATAAAAATTTTCATTTTCCATTTTTTTGCGATTACTATAACTTGCCCTACGGGTAGTTAAAAATATAAAAAATTAGATTTAGATTAGAAATTGAGAAATGTTGAAATTTTTTAAACAAAAAATGGCATTTTCGCAAAATTTTATTTTTTTGTATTTTTTTGAGAATTTTTAACATTTTTTTCAAGTAATCGTGCTGCATAGCATATTGGAGTCGAAATTTTGGCACTTTTTGCTGCGTCTCCTTATCAGTAGGAATTGAATGTTTTTGTATTATTCAAATCGGTTGATCCATGTTCGCAAAATCGTCGTCGAATATTTGTATCCGCAGACGCACATACACGCACACACACATTTTTTTTTTCTAAAGTATGCCAAAATGTTCACAAGTCTCTAAAACGTAAAGATATATAAAAATTTTCATTTTTGGTAAGTTCGAAGATCGGGGCTTAAAGATCCGCTGTTAAAAGGTCCACCGCCAGTATACAAAAAATTAAAATATAACATCATAAATAAATTTTCCTTTCCTACCAATAAATCCCAGTTGGCAGAAATCCAACGCGAACCACGGTTCCTTCCTCGCGGTTTTTTCGATGGCATAATTCTTCATGGAAGAAATAAAATTTTTCTTAGCCAAGATATCGTCTTCTAATTGTACATAAAACGTGGCCTTAGTTTGAGCATAGGTCATTAAATAGGCAAAATCCAAATTTTGCTTCGTTCTCCATCTGACTCGTTCGATAGGATCATCTAGGGTTATCCTTAATTTGTCCAAATTTGGATAATAAGAGGGATGTGGTGCTAGGACTTCTAGTAAACCAGAAGAAACCTAAAATCCAACAATGATAAAATTTATATGTATTCTCATCAAAATATTACTTCGCTTATTTACCTGTTTAGGAAACCTCAATTCTATTTGTTTGGCAACTAAAAGCACATAATCCAAATCGGTTTCTGCCACAAAAACAATAACTATGGAGTCATCAGCTTCTGATTCACTCATGGCTTCCATCAAATTTTGGAGAGTTGTCATTAGATAACTTTGTTTGTCTCTTTTCACAGTCGGAATACCTAGGAAAAAAATAAAAATATTTAGTGAAAAACATAATAACTCAATTTTGAAGTAAGAATGATATAATAGTAAATTATTGGTACATTTCTCTTCATGTATCCTTGAGGATTTTGCTACACAGAAGCATTTATATCGACTCCGTAAAAATTTTAATTGATCATGCAAATTAAATCGATAAACTTCACGCTTTTTTGAAGTTTTTTTTCAAAACTACGACGACTATCCAATTTAAGTTCATACAAAAAGAGTTCTCAAGTCAAACTACTTCACAGAAACTCTGATCATTCATCTCTTATGAATAATTCGCGCCGTACTTTGTAAGGAATTCTAAGGGTAGATACCCTTCCTAGGATTTGAAACTATGCAGTGCCAGTTCATGGAACCCACATTAATCTTCAGAAAAACAACCAGAGTAAAGTTTATATATATATATATATATATATATATATATATATATTTTGTAGAGTTTCGAACAAGAATCCAAAAATAATACAAAATAAAAAACAAGAAAAGTTTTTAATAAACAATTTCTTTATTTAATTATTTGTTTTACTGTCGACGTTTCGGAACTAGGTACGTTCCATCTTCAGGACATCTGTCAAGAAAACAGATCTTGATGAGATTTTAGCAAACAATATGTTTGGAAAAGAAAATAGATTTTCTTAAATAATAAATTAATTGCAAAAAAAAATATAATAATGTACAGAAATATGTTAATATGATCAAAATGAAAATGATAAAAATAAATGAGTGGATTATCAGAACAGGATATTAAACATAATAGAAAATTTTTTTGAAAGTTATGGAAATTTTTTAAGAAAAGGTTAATTAAAAAAATTTCCATAACTTTCAAAAAAAATTTCTATTATGTTTAATATCCTGTTCTGATAATCCACTCATTTATTTTTATCATTTTCATTTTGATCATATTAACATATTTCTGTACATTATTATATTTTTTTTTGCAATTAATTTATTATTTAAGAAAAATCTATTTTCTTTTCCTAAACATATTGTTTGCTAAAATCTCATCAAGATCATGTTTCTTGACAGATGTCCTGAAGATGGAACGTACCTAGTTCCGAAACGTCGACAGTAAAACAAATAATTAAATAAAGAAATTGTTTATTAAAAACTTTTCTTGTTTTTTATTTTGTATTATTTTTGGATTCTTGTTCGAAACTCTACAAAATATACACAAATCCAAGACTCTACCATTCAATATATATATATATATATATATATATGTTTAATTTGAGTTTAATATTCGGGCGTAACATCAATAAAAATATTTTTATTGATGTTACGCCCGAATATTAAACTCAAATTAAACATATATATCAACATCAAATTCAAGAATATTCAAATATATATATATATATATATATATATATATATATATATAATATTACGGACTTTGCCAAACTATTAAATTAGGAAACTAACGATGCGTGCAGAATTTCAGTCGGATTGGGAATAGATGCAAAATTGGGAATAGATAGATGATAATGGTAAAAACGATTTAACATAAATTACTTAACGGTATGCATATAAATTAGAAACTAGGTGTGAATGGCATTTTGTCTTAAGGCAAGTTGCATGAACTTCCCGATATGTGTAATAATCGACTTAATCGCTTTCACTAGAAACTAAACTAGTGGTGCATGGCATCGTGCCTTAAGGCAAATTGATGGAACTTCCTGTTGCAAAAATTGGAGATTTCAAAAAAAATTCAAGTGTTTTTTACAGAATTTTGAAAAATAATGGATTTTTGACATTTTTAAAATGTTTGAAAAACATTTAGATTTTTGAAAAGTTTTAATTTTTTTATACTTTTTGAAAATTTTGAACTTTTTTTTAAAAGCAATCGCAATACGTTAGCTACGTAAGAACGAAATATCGAAAAATAATAGCTACGTAAAAAAAAATTATTCTTATTATTAAAATTTCTATAAAATATTTGATAATTGCATGTGCATATGCCATGCAATTATCAAATATTTTTGTCCGCAAAATGGCATTTTTTTTTACTTTTTTATTGAATCTCCGAAACCGCTATACCTGCCTTTACAAAAATTTCATCAGTTCTTTTGTCAATACAAGTAAAATGTTTTTTGGCGGCTAAACCTGCCTTTGCCAAAAACTAATCAGCACGTCTCCTAATGAATGAGAATCGAATATTTTTTGAATTATTCAAATTGGTTGATCTGTGTTCTCGAAATCGTCGACGAAAATTTGTATCACATACGTACACACACGCACACATACACACACACACACTAACACACACATACATCAATTTTTCTAAGGTATGCCAAAATGTTCAGAAACCTTTGAAACATTTTGATACATAAAAAATAAAATCATTTTCGTTTTTCAATATTGCGATTTCCAATCTCAAACACATTTATAATGCACGTAATTGTATTAATTTAGTGCATAAATACGTGTTTGTATCTCTATAAAGCAATTTTCGTAAAAACATTTTTTTCAAAAACTTAATAAACTAGTTGAAAGTGGCATTGAAAGTGGAAATCAATCGAAATTGAAATTTAAATATTCAGGTAATATTTTCAACTGTTTATTTCAAAAATAAAGTTATCGATTTCATTTAAATCTAAATCCGGGACAAATATTGTTTTTATAAAAACCCGGGACACAAGGTGCAAATCCCACCCAGCCCCTTAAAAGTATGTCTCATGTTATCAGAAAATGTCTTCATCTTTTTAAGTTCTACAAGATCACGGCCCAAGCATATTTCCTAATTTGACCTTAAGAAGAATCCTGTGACATTTTCTCTCACGTGCCGTCCATTTATGATATTTCTCCGGAGTTATCTAATATTCCTGATGCCAGATGTGATGTAGTCATGGAAACAAATCAATAATGTCATACAATGTCGGTCTACGGAAACGTAGCTGTATCGTAGCACAAGTGCAACATCAAGGTGCACTGGTGTCTGTTCTTGTGCTAACAAAGTATTCTATATTAGAGAGGAATAGTGGTAGAGCTGGTGTAAATTTATTAACTTCCCGAAGAAAAGTGAAAAATAAATCGTTTACGTTTTAGCCCGCAATCCTGAATGGATTTTCAAAATTCTAAAAGTGTTCGGAAGATATTGGTTGGGAATCGTGCCGATTAGTTTTTCTTGTAATAAGGTGTTAAAAAAAATTTTCGACGATGTTTATGATTTTTTTTAAGGTAGATACTATAGTAATATAGACTCATACTCAAATATTACAGCCCTACGACAAATATTTTAATGTAAAAAAATTATCCAAGTTTAAGAAAATATTATAGACAAAACTTGTGTCATAAGTTACTTTTGTGATGTGATGAGTTAAACAATATCAATTCATTAATATTTAAAATAATAAACTACGATTTTAGGGCATACAATAGCCCGTGTCTGTGCAATATTTTAATTAATAAATTTAAAAGTGTTTGAGAAAATTCTATTCGAAATCGCAATGTTTAGATTTTTTTTCGCGGATTGACCCAGGTTTCCAAAAAATATAGGTCTTTAATTGAATCATCGTAATTTCTTGATGATAAAATTCCAAATACCCATCAAATATCCGAAAATGATATATATATATATATATATATATATATATATTATGTTACAATTGGATCATAATGTATATCATTCTCAGATTGTCTTAAGACAACGAGTATGCTTATTAATACGAATGAATTAATATGTTATGAATGAGAAAATTGGCGATTACAAAATTCGAAAGACGGTCTAAAATAGTTTCTCATCTTAATAATTTCAATTTCAATATCACAAAAATTAGCAGAAATATAAAAACAGATTTTTTGACTACCTGACATAAGTAGTATTTTTTTCAAGGAAAATAAAATTTTATACAAGACTCAAAAGTGAAAAAAAATGTAGATCTAAAATTGTATGATTGTGAATTAAAAAATAATGGATTCAAGGAATTTTTAATAGCCAGTATTGCTTAAAAAAGGTTTATTAAAAAAAACTGCATTTTATTTTTTTGTAGGACACGAAATATAAAAGTGCCTTCAAAGCTATCGCAGCTCATTTTATTTAAAATGTTGATATCCATGTAAATAATAATTTTTATTATATTATTAGAGTAAATTTCATCTAGTTTTATAAACTTATTATAATGCATAATATGAAAATTAAAAGTTAATTGGAAAAATGTAAAAAAATGTTCTAATTCCACATATTATGGAAATCTAAAGTACGCATTTCAAGTACGAAGTATTCACATATCAATATCCAAATGTATATAACAGTTTCTACCAGATTTTATTAAATTTAATCTAGCTTGTTCTATTGTAAACAAATCAAAATGTCCTAAATGAAAATTAAAAGTTATTTGAAGAAATGTGAAAAAATGTTCTAACCCCATATATAACAAATTAGCAAAATACTAAAGTCCACATTTCAACTACGAGTTATTCCAAATTTTAATATCCAAGTGTATATAAGATTTTTTAATATATTTTAGTAAATTTTATCTAGATTCTACTAATGTGAACAAATTATAATGTCCGTAATAAAAATTTGAAGTTATTTAAAGGACTGTGAAAAAATGTTCTAAATCCATATATTGCTGGAAATACTAGGGCCCGCTATTTCAATTAGGAATTATTCAAAATTTCATTATAACATATGTTAATAAATTATAATGCCCCGAATAAAATCTTTAAGTTATTTGAAAAAATGTAAAAAAGGATGAAAACGTGTTAAAATATTCTCTTTCTCTGCATTCCAACAATAACATTTTTTCCTCAAATTTAGACAATTCCTGTAATAAAGAAATATTTTTGAATCCATTCCCTTTCGATGATCAAGAAAGATCATCTCAGCAATTAGTATGCCAAAAACTGAGCGTATAAAAGTACATTTCGCCTTCGTGGTTTCTAAAACATCCTTATATTATTTATAAGATCATTTCCCATTCCGCCAAAACAAATTTCATCTCGAATTTCCATATTTACCTGTGATGTTACGACT